TTGCAGGGGCATACGGACACGTATACACGACAAAAGTAGAAATTCTTGAGGCTTTTTTTTCTTCATATAATCTTGTTTATGCAGTGAAATTCTGCATTGATGACGACAACTGAAGCGTGGTTGAAGTAGAAAAAAAAAATTAAAGAAAATCCCCCAATTGCATGCATGGGAGAATTGGATCAAGAAAAATCTTCACCGGGTATTTTTATTTTTAACCAGACAGGGTTAGATTTTTTTTTTTTTTCTTTCTTTCTTCTGTTTTCCTTCTAGACACACCGCGTAGTACAAAGGTATTGCTTGAACATCGTACAAGATAAACAAAAACATGTTGGGAAATCAATGGCAAAGATTCTTTTTCCATTATTTTTATGATTGTTAGTAATTATAAGCCTTTTTCTTTTGTCCCATCAGAACCTTAATTGATATGGTCGTTGTGTCGGTTAGCCCATCCTCTGTTGCCCCCCACATTCAATTCAATTTTAATTCGTTGTTGTAGTAAAAAAAAATTATATTATCATGTAATAATAGAATATATTATGTTATTTATTATTTTTCTAACAAATATAATAGAAAGTAAATGGCATCACGATCGTATTAGTAGCATGTCACCGGTATGTTAAATTACTAAAGCTTAAATTTTTTTTATTTATTGCAGGAGGACTAAGATAAGTTTCTATTGAGAGTGTGACTTTTAAGAATCTTGTCTTTCTCCAAATACTCCTATAATTCTAATTCTGGATACTCCTATAATGTTAAAGAGTATTTCTCTCAAAAATTAGAAACTGAAGTTAATAATGATAATTATTAACTAAAGTTTTTACTTTAATCAATAGAATCAAAATAATTCATCTATTAAGTCTTATTTTTTATCATACTTTGCTTTTTATCATACTTTTATATAGTGAATCTCAATAGAAATATATTTTATTGTGCATTATCATTTTTTTCATCAATTTTTTATTTAAAAAAATGTACTAAAAACAAAAAAGTTGAAATAAACAACTAAACTAACTAAATAATGAATGTAAAATTTATGATAATATAAGTTTTTATTTTATTTAATAATTGTAGTTAATAAGTGTTTGGTTCTTCTGTTTTTTAAGATAAATCACTTGTATATAGCGTATATATGGAAAAAGTTGTGTCCATCGATTATTTCCAATGCCAAAGGCTTTGAATGCTTTCGGCATATTTTTGGTTTTGGCTTGTGGTGATGTTGATTGATTGGAAATTACAAGTGGATAAAAGTTGTTTGGAATCAAGTTTGTGGTGGTATTGGTTTGGATTGGCCAAGTATTTTCTGTAAAACTTTTTTTGTGTTCAAAGAATAATGGTTTCTAAATATAAAATTTTGTCATATATTATGATTGCTAGTGTTGAAAATATAGATTCAAACAGTGAGGACAACTATCGTAAAGAACATAAAAGTGGGATCAAGATTAAACATGTGAAATTAAGACTTATAAAAGTTATTATATTCACTATGTGTGCAAGTAGCATTGGAGAAGTCAAATTTTAACGATTCAATTTTCTTTGAAAGTGACAATCCAAATATGGGTAACCATTTGTTTTTGTTATATAAGTCTAATACCAATTATGACCTGAAAATAATTTCAGTTCCACTACACTTTCACCGATTGATAAGCAATGTGTATGATTGCAAGACCATTGAGAAAAAGAATGTGTCTAGGAAAAGTGCCAATTTACATTATTAGACCAAGAAGACTAAAAATGTTGAGGGACTAAATTAATTTTATTTATTATATCTACATGAATAATTGAGGAGTATAGACGAGTAACGTGCTTTAAAAGTGCATATTTAATCAATCACATAATATATATATTTCATGTTGGGATTGAGAAGTGAGGAGTGGCTTGGAGAGGGAGCATCGATTCGAAAAAGAAAAAGTGGGATAATGAATGGAATTGAAAATTGGAATAGAACCCTAAATGTTGGTCAATTGCCCAACATGCCATGTTTACACCCTTTCCAACCTTCACCTCTTAAAAAATATATTAATCACACCTTTCACTCATCATGATCCAATTGTAACATTTTCTAAAATGGTAAATATTACGAATTTGTGTTCCAATTTCTGACAAATTTTGTTAACTTGGATGTATTGAGAAAAAAAAGTGGAAAAAAATATATAAATATTTTTTTTAGTTAAATGAAGGAAAAAGGAAATGATTAAAAAATCATTTAATTGATAAAATAATAATAATTATTATTATTATATGTGTCAAATAGGTTTTATATATTCTTAACATGATAATTAATAGGTTAATAAATGAAAGTAGTGCTTAATTTGATAGCATATTCAACTAAAGTCTTAAGTGAGTTGCTTAATCAAAGTTGGGTAATATTGCTTAGTATTTTTTTTATTGAAGTAAATAATGTTGCATTGTATTACTTAAGAATGTTGTTATAAGTAATATTATTTTCACCCACAAATTTAATATAGTTGAACTTAAGCATGCACTAAGAATTTTAATCTTGGAGTGACTTTCTTAGAGATATTGATATATATATATATATATATATATATATATATATATATATATATATATATATAAACTTCCACATTTCCATATTACATATTATGGGAAAAAGGATAAAATAAATGAAAAAAATATGTCATGTCTTTTTCTATTCTTCTCGTAATAAGAATTATTTATTTATTTAGGATCTTACATTTTGTATATCATTTCTTGTCTTATTTACAATATTTTCTTTTCAATATGGTCCGATTATAACATAGAGATTGTCATTTCATGACCTGTTAATAGTACTAATGAAGAAGATATTATCAACCACAACACAAGAAACTGTTCTCCAATTCTATGATCTTTGTTGAAATAAATAATGGCTGACTTAGCTTATTCTTCATCCAATGGTTGAAGTGAAACCAAAGGTTCTGTTTATGACACTCATCAATATTACAATCGAGAAAATGACACAAAATGTATTCGTAATCAATTAATAATCAAACTTTTACACTGTACTATGATTTGAGTGGAAAAAGAAGAGATGGGACAATATGTTTATATATATATATATATATATATATTAGAAATGATATGTTAAAAAAATTAGATATTTTAATAAATTAATTAATTTAATTATGACTGTATTTTTATTATTTTCAAATTAATGATATTCACATTTAAAAATTTAATAAAATATTTATTGGTAAGTTAATGTAATATTATCAAAATTAGCATTTTAATATCGTATTTAACATAAATAAAATAATTATACTATTAAATCAATATATTTATTACATGTTAAATTTTAAAAACTGAAATGGTTTTAGAAGCACCACTACAATATAAATCTAATTTTCAAATATTGAAAACTTTTTTAATTCGATAAAGACCACTTACAATTTGCTTCTAAAAACAGTTTTGTTGAGGAGGTTCATTTAGTTGAGGAGAGATTAACCTAAAGGTTGATTTATCATTAAATATACTAATAATGTAATTTCAAGAGTATTTAAAAAAATGGAACTCTCTTTGTAACTTATTATAGACTTGAGTAACAAAGTGAAGATATATTTAAGAGAAAAAAATTATAAAATAATTTTTTTTAACATATAGTGAGTCTAAGAATGTCAATATCAATAATAACTTATTATTTTGATGAGTAATTTTTTTATATAAAAGAAATTATGTACACAATTATCTAAAATCTCACTTACACCAGAAATATATATCTCACCATGCATAATATTATTAAAAAAATTCGTGTATCGTAATTATTATTTTTTTTCGTAATAGTCATCCTAATTTTTTAAGACGTACACCGTTTTATGTAGTGCGACATTAAAGATACGAACATATTATTTATATATATATATATATATATATATATATATATATATATATATATATATATATATATATATATATATATATATATACATGTGTGTGTGTTTTTTTTAACATTGATCATTGCATTTAAATAATATTTTTGAAAAAAAAACTACACATATATGAATTGAAAACTACATGTATATAAAGACGAATGTAATAAGTTGTAATTATAAAACGATGAAATTAAGAATTCCTTAAGCGTGTGTGATTAAAGTTAAACATGTTTAATTTTGACTAAATAATTGTAATCTTACCCCACCTTACTGGTTGCAGTATGGATTTGGGGTGCGAACTTTGAAGCATAGTTATCGATGAAAACAGATTATTATTATAAATCATGTTTAGTAGGACAAAATATTATGAAGAAGCAGACAAGGAAGTAAAGTAACGTGGCCTAGTCTCTTTCTCTCCCCGGATCCCTTCCAATTGATAAAAGGACTTACAAATAAACACACATTTACTAAACTCCCATGCACACACAGAAGAACCTTCAGCACTAGAACAGATTATAATAATTAGTGATGTCAAAGTGAAGGAGTTAAAAGGTAATAAAAGACTTAGGTGGTATAGAAGAGTATAAGGAAGAAAGTAGTTTTGATAAGGATAGGGGAGAAGTCCTTTGGAAAGAAAATTGATGAGAATAGAAATAGTTGTTTGTGAAGTAAAAAGGGGGAGAAAAAGAAAAGTTAAAAGAAAAAGGAGGAGAAGTGAATATGGTGCAAACAGTCAAAAATCTCTTTCGTCCTTTAGCTTCGCATTATTCGGAGGGAGACATCTTATCTGTAGTGTGGGATGAATTTGTTAAGTGTGTGTGAGTGTGTGGATACCCTCTTGCTCCAAAACGCACACAGAGAACACCAGCTAGCAGCCAACACACACACACACACACACGTTCGTTCTCCTTCTCAAACCAACCCTAATAACTAAAATATCACAACCACTTGGCTCACCATTCACCATGCTCAACCTCGACTAGCTACAACTGTAAGTTATTTTTTGTCCTCTTTCACCTTCACCGACTTCCCTTCATTCCTTATATTTTCCCCCTTATCTTCTCATCCTTACCACTCTCACTCTTCAATATGACCAATCACAATCACTGTGTTCCAGATTTCGATTTCCAAATGGAAGACGACCAGCAATACCCCATTCTCACGCCTTCGGGATTGCCTCGCCAAAACAAACCCTCCATGTATGTAACTTCTCTCTTCACCACTTTTTATTTCCATTTTTTCTTTTATTAGTTAATAGATTAATTAATTCACCCGGAGTGATCAAAATTGAAACAGTGCAGACGACGACGTCATGGAGCTGCTATGGCAAAACGGCCAGGTCGTGATGCAGAGTCAGAACCACCGTTCTTTCCGAAAACCGACGCCGCCTAGAGACTCCAACGATGCTTCTGCCGCCGGTCCTTCCACGGCCAGGGAGATTCGACCGCAGCTCGATAATTTCAATCAACATCTCTTCATGCAAGAAGGCGAAATGGCTTCGTGGCTTCACTATCCAATCGACGACGACGTCGTACCTCCGTTGGATCAGACTTTCTGCGCCGATTTCCTCTACTCGCCGCCCACCATTAACAACAGCAGCGCCATCCAAACCCTCGCCCGTACGTCTCAACTGACGGAGCTCCGCCCGATGTCCGCACCGCCTCGACCTCCGGTTCCACCACCGAGGCGATCGGAACCGAAGACGCCGAACTTCGCGTACTTTGCAAGGCACAACACGAGAGCCGCCGAGCAGAGCGTGAAGCCCGCCGTGAGGGAATCCACAGTGGTGGATTCGTGCGACACGGCTCCGGCGGTTTCGAGAGTTTCGGAAACTGAGAGGAACGCGGCGGAACCGACGGAAGGAGACGCCGGTCCTCCGGTGCCTTCGACGAGTGCCGGTGGCGGAAGGAGCACTATGATGTGCGAAGTGACTATGGCGTCGTCCCCGGGCTGTTCTACTAGCAGCGGTGAGCCGGTTCACGTGGCAGCGACGGCGGAGGATAGGAAGCGGAAGGGTCGGGATGCGGAGGAATGGGAGTGTCAGAGCGAGGTGAGTGAATTGATTTCAATTGACTCAGCGTTGTTTCTTTGTCTATCACGTCACATCACATCCTTGTTCAATTTACAAATTCCGTGTACGTTGGCATCCGCTATCGTGCGCAGGGGGAGTGACGTAGGTTTACGTGAGCACTCCTCATCCCGCTGCATTCATTTCTGTGCTGTGTGCTCATTTGATGCCGTCAGTTTCACCGTCGCGGCTGCTCACGTCCACGACACGTGTATTGATGACATTGAATGTCAAACTGTTTTTGTTCATGGAAATGATGGAAGATATTTTAAAATAGGATTTTACTTAAATAGATAATCCTTTAACACTCACATCTAATCATAAATTTCTTTTTATTGATAATAATTTTAAAGTTTAAATTTAGAGTAATCTCTATTAATGTAATTTGTAACACTAATATTGTATACAAATTAAACTCTTTACAATAATTACGATCCACTATATCATATTATTCTTTTAATTATATTCTTTAAGTTTAATTTTGACACATAAATTCTCTACATCGATAACTAATAATGATAGTATTTTTAGTATGAGTTTCGAAGGAAATTATAAAGAAAATCAGCAATTTTATATAACAATTTATGATTGGTAGAGTAAACAAAGATTTCAATTTAATTATATTATTTTCTCGACATAAATTTTCAATAAGATTTTTTTTTCTCCACATTAATTAACTGATACTTTAGTCAAAGATGCTGAAGTATAATATTTCAAGTGATACACTAATTCAAACATAAATAATGATTTGCTTTTGAAACCTCATTCTTTTCTGTTTTCGTTTTGGGGGGATATTGGAAGGTTAAGCATGCAGATGGAGAAGGAGAAAAAGGTATCAACTCTACACATTAAATCACATTTCTAGATTATGATGACGATTGGAGTGGCTCGTCATGCATTTGGTCTTAGTTTTCGGAGAAATTACGATGGGTGATAAGTACTGAAGTTAGGGAGCACTTTTTTTTATGTAAAGTTAGGGAGTGATTTGATGCAGAATCACACTAACTAACTCAATTGTGTGCTTAAAGTTAGAATTAAAAAATTCTAGCTTTTAAAGTTGTCCTTCTCAAAGGCAAATTCTATTAATAATGTGTTCAATGATTTAACATAGTGTACACGTAGGGATCGAAGTCAAGTTTTTATTGGCTTTTTTTATCTTTTGGTTAGATTTGAGGGTTTTTTTTTATATTGCTTTTAAAAATTGTTATGCAGAACACAACTACATGTTTACCACGATGTAAAGTATTCTTATTAAACAACCCATGGGATTGGCTTACGGTATGTCTGGATTATAATCTACAAATTATGATTTGACTCATGGAAAAATGGTCATATTGTGGACGGAATATAATTTGAATGCTTTAAACTGAGGTTTGAAGTGTGGTAAACTATTATTATCCAGATATTTACTGTGCTACTAACAAGTAAAAAGGCGTGCTGCTAGTCTTGAAATTGACTAGCGATATTTGTAGCACCAATTGCCGGCGTCCCAGCAGTTGATAACATTTGTCGTTCTTTAATCTTTTAATTGTTATTTTTTGTTAAAATTTATCTTCTTTAAAATGAAATCTTTGTTTGGTTTAGTTTAAGATTGAGTAGAAATGGAAGGCTTTATTTCCTGCTCAGATTTCGGGAATGAAGTATCAGATTTAAAAAAAAAAAAATACAAAAATGAGCATTTACTTCGAACTTAATATTCACCCACTTGAAGACTTTACTTTACCACTTGGGTATATGACTAGTGCGAAATTTGAGTAGATGTCAAAGGTTTAATTTCTAGTAAGTAAGAAAAGTCTGCTAGGCTTGAATCAGACTAGAATTTTGGTCTTGGCACAGAGCTATGGTGAATTTTGAATTTGTAGATTGGAGAAGGGTTCTAACCACAGGAATTGTCTCTGATGTGGTTTACTTGGCTGTTTGATGGCAAGACCATTAAGAATCCTGCATAAGCTTGCTTCTCAAAATAAGCAAAGTAATTAACCTGCTATGATATTGAGTGTGAACTATTTATATGCTGGTCTAAAGTTCTCTGCATGCATAATATTTACATGGTAAAGTTATGCAAAATAAAAATAGGGTATTTGGAGATGTTATTTTTATACATGGTTTGTGCTGGAGAGACATTTTCACACCCTTTCTCTTATTTGATTTCGTAGAAGTTAGTAGTTCAACCAGGCATAAATGATCAAACCTATGCATGGATTTTTTTATTTTTTTTTAATCGAAATATGTAAGTTTGATTAGAGGAATCCAAATATGTCAGATGCAGCTATTACTATATTACCCAAGTTTATATACATGTCCTATTATCCATTCGAAGTTTCATGTTCTGATGGTGTGAGATGATTACTCATTTATTACCTATGACTTACATGTGTAAAACCGTCGTTAAAAAGTGTGAAATTGTTAAACCTTTCCCTTTTCAATTTTATTGTCTTCTCAAACTAGAACCGAGTTCTGATACCCAAAAAATATAGCCTGTGTCAACAAATAGGGTATGAGGCAGCTTAATAGCAGTTTTTTGGTTCTCTCTAACTGATATTCTGCGATTTATTTAAATGTTCAATCTTTGCTTCTAGCATATTCTTATTTCTTTATATCCTGCTGGAAACAAGGATGTTGATTTTGAATCGGAAGCAAAGAAACAAGTTCGAGGATCAACGTCGACAAAGAGATCACGTGCTGCGGAGGTCCATAATCTCTCTGAGAGGGTCTGTACTTTCATTTCTTTTTTGAGTTCATATCTTTTTATACACTTTTCTTTCTTAGAACATAAAAGCTTTCACTTGCCATTTGCACACAGAGGCGTCGTGATCGGATTAATGAAAAGATGAGAGCTCTGCAAGAACTTATACCTCGATGTAACAAGGTAAACGGACTTTTAAATTTCCAACGTCTTTACTTCTAACAATGGGCAGAATTTAGATTTTATAATTTCTATTTAATTTTTGTCCCTATTCTGAATTCATAGTCGGACAAAGCTTCAATGTTGGATGAAGCAATTTCGTACTTGAAGTCATTGCAGTTACAAGTGCAGGTAAATTCTTCTTCTTCTTCTTCTTTTTCCTTTTTTTTTAACAGATTCCTCATTTTTTTTAGATAGAGTTTGTTTTATAATTCATTTCCATGTCCACTGTATTCTGTATTCTGTGTGTTAATAAATTTCTTAGGCAGATTAATCTATACTCATTTCATGTAATACATTGCTTTTCAAGCGACATATTTTGCTAAGCATGCGCCATCTTCCAGTGCTAGGATATTACAGAGCAATTCACATTCGGATAGTTTATCAGAATCCACAATTTCCTTACTTTTGATCTTCAACAAGATTTTAGGAGGAAGAGTAAAAGAGACTTCGGAAATGTAAGGATGGAAAGACAATGTAATAAGCTGTTGCATTCTTAAAATAAGTTTTCATAGGAATGAAACTTTACATCTTTCAATTGTGGAAAGACATATGCTGTATGTATATTATGTTATTTAGATTATGGACTGTAAAATTATTTTTGAAGTGTACACAAGTATCAGAATATTCATATTCTATATAGGGTATCAAGTTATTCACCTTCCATGGTTATATACTTTCATTTCTTACACAGATTGCAACTTATGCAGATGATGTCCATGGGATGTGGCATGGTACCTATGATGTTTCCTGGAATCCAACAGTACATTCCAGCAATGGGAATGGGGGTTGGAATGGGTATGGGCATGGGTATGGAAATGGGAATGAACAGACCTGTAATGCCATTTCCCAATATGTTACCTGCTTCTGCTTTGCCAGGAGCAACTGCAGCTGCTCATTTGGGACCAAGGCTTCCAATGCCTCCTTTCCACATGCCGCGTTTTCCTGCTCCTGATTCATCTACAATGCAAGCACAAAATCAGACAGATAATACTATGGTCGCTGCTGGTCAACCTGATCCGAATCACTCACGTCTCCCAAACTTTACGGATCCTTATCAACAATATCTTGGTCCCCACCAGATGCAGTTTCAAGTAATCCAGGTATTTTGTCCTCTAATGTTATTTTAGATTTGGATTTTCTTAAATAATGCGTGAAGTAATTTGTTGTACTGAGGTCCATTAGATTTCCTGCCATCATGTTCTACCCATCTCATGTTTTATGTACTTGATAACCCATACCTCAGATATTGAATTCTGATTTTACTTATTACTCCGTCTTGATTAGAAAGAAAAAACCTCTCAGAACTATAAGGAAAACTTAAGTTGCTTGTATTTCTTTTATTGTTTAATAGAGCATAGAGTATGAACTTTTATGAACTTAGGTCTATTTCCGTGTGCAGAATCAGGCAATGAACCAACCAAATGTTAACAAGCCCGGTACCAGTAGGGGCCATGAGAATCCGGAAAACCGTTAGCCAGGTGAGTAACTTTCTCTAAAGACTTTCATTTGGTTATAAATGATAATATTAGTTGGTAAAATGGGAAAACGCTTTGTAGTATACTCTTTGGGAAAAAAGTTTATTATTTACCAAAATTTATAAAAAATCACAAATTTTTATAAGTGACTTATCTTTCTCTGAATTTTTTAGTTTTAATAAATTTTAGAAAATGTAAACTTGAAAATATTTCTTCTTCCTGTGAATTTGTCTTGTATTGAAGAGAAAGTGTCGCAAAGAATGTTCTTAACACTATTTGTAAAAGTATAGTTTGTTAAGCAATCTGGTTCTTAACGATTTTAAGTTTTTATTAGTGTGTTCTTGCGTCATAAGCTCCTGCAGCATGCTAATTGCCAGCAGCTTGTTACGTATAAAATTTCTGAGTATGTGTGGCTACTTCTAAATATGTCAATGTTTTTATGACATTCAGGACAAAAGATTATTCTTCAGTTACAATTAGAGCTGACTATTGACTACCACTCACAATGGTAGTGTGAATTGTAAGTCCTGATTACTTGATATTGCAAAAAACAAGGATAACCATCATTAACAATCCACTGTGTGCATTGCAGGTTAGATTTTCCGACACCTAAATTACAGGTGCAAAGTTTTGTAGAGTGAAGAGAACGAACTTTTTAGCTGTTCTCAGTAGCAAGCTAATCTAGACACAGCTAACATGTAAATTATTGTAACCAAGTTTTCCCTCTCCTTTTTTAACCTGTTTTCTCCGTCTTCAAATTTCACTTTTCGAGACCTTTTTATATGAGAAGAGGAACTCTATAGATGGCACAATAGATGAACGTGCATATACTCCTAACGTGGAGGCCCATGTGGATAGCTTCGTACGTTAGACCTTTTCCTCTCTCAGATTCTTGTTCTGTTCTTCATGTTTTCTCCTATTGGGTAACATCATCAAGTGAAATTCGTTACTATTACTTATGAAGTGAAATTGAAGTAGTTCTTGATCTACATGACCTATGACGATTCTCTTGTTATGGTGTACGATGTATTTAGTCAAAGTACGGAAATTTTAATAAAATTTGAAATTTAGTACATGGGATTAAGAGATCTTCATTATGTTAAAAGGTATAGCTATTAATGTGTAGCTCTTGTGGTAGTGCATACTTCCGTATTTCGTGTGCCTCAGGGACCATGAAATCTAGTAAGATCGGTTGTCAAAAACTTTTGATTCACACCCATAACTACGAGGTTACGAAAAAGCGGTTCCTTTGAAAAACTAAAATATTTTTAGAACTTAACCCTAATTCATATATCATTGGTTAAATTATTTGTTGATTTGTAATTTATTGATCTTGAAATTACATTATGATATACCAGTATTAGATAGAAACTTATTTGATGATAAGAAAAACTAAAAAAATGGTAATAACAAGGTGCTTAAGAGGCATGCGAGCTTTAGTGGTCGTCATAAAGAATAAGAGTTGATTTGCAATTGTTTAAAGTTTAAGGGGAAAGATTAGGGGATTTGCAAATACTGGAAATTTTGGGGTCTAAGGTCAACTTATACATGTGGCCTTCATGAGCTTAATTAAAAATTATAATTAAAAAATTGTTTTTTATAATTAAATATTTTAATTTTAATTTAAATAATATATGTTTAAATTTGTTCCATAAAATTTATTTTTGAATTTTTTTCAAAAGCATTTGAAAAAATAATTTCAATGGATAAAAACTATTAATGTATGGATTGGATTTGTTGTTGGGTTTTGAGGATTTAGCAAGATGTGTAAGTTATTGGTAGATGATCTTTTAACATATGTCTTCAACTTAATACAATTTAAGATATTGAATTTAAGAGAAGAAATAAGATAATACTTCGTGTATATATATATATATATATATATATATATATATATATATATATATATATATATATATATATATATATATATATATATATATATATATATATATATATATAAACTTTGAATAAATTCTCTAATTATTTTTGTAAGATATTTTGTTATCCTAAACATGTATGAGATCATAACTGACTTAGTGCAGTTAAATCCAAATTGATCTTCTGACTCATCCGAGTATAGATGAATTATAATCGAAGTAACAAGTGCAATGAGAATGACAGCAAACACCATAAATAGAAAGATCGAATGAGAAGAGAGAGTATAAGAGATTTCGTAAGCGTTAAAATAATCATTAATATTATTTTAAAGAGTTCAGATTCTGTTCACTCATTTTCTAAAAGAATTTTATCTAAACAAAATTCTAAAAGAATGTAATGCCATGAGATGGATTACAACTACAAGGAAGAGATACATTAACACAAGATATTTAATATTTTGCATACCTATGGCTTCTGCAGATAGTGAAATACTTGCTTTCACTGTCCCAAATGAGTCCAGAAGTTTAACAGCTATTGGGGCACATTCGAGTGCTTATAAAGTTTATGTTTCTTGTTAATAGCTCAAGTGTATATTCTTACCGTTCTGGGATTTTAAACTGTTTGTTAGTTTTCTGTTTTTATGCTTTTGCTCTCTTTATATTTCTTGGTTGCTCCTTGCTCAATAACCATAGTGTACAACTGTGATCGTGTTATGTATTAGAGTTCTTTTTTTGAAGAGGTATGTTGTATTACTCTGGTTCATTTCCCTTTTTCTTTTCTTTCTTCCGCTTTTAGTTTCTTTGTTTTCCTTTGTGTTTTCTTGCTTACTTTGGCAAAAGAAAGTTTAGCACAAAGCTACCTTTACTCTCATCCCAATGAAAATCCTACCACAACTCTTCTTTCAACTGTTCTTAGCACCACAAATTATCATTCTTGGAGACATTTTATGTTTATGCTAGCACAAAGAACAAAATAGAGATTGTTCTTGATATTGCTAAGCAACCTAAGAAAGATAAACCATATTATCCAGGAAATAACATGAATGTTTCATGATTAGTCCATTCAATTTCCATTTCCATCATACAAAACATCATTTGGATAGATAAAGCCTATGGTATCTAGACTAACCTCAAGAAGAAATTCTCTCATGGAGGCCTTTCTCTCATCTTCAGTTGAAAGTCGCAACCCTCAACTATGGTAATCTTAATATTTATGAGTATTTCACGAAATTACAAGTACTTTGAGATAAAATTGATAGTTTTAGACTATCCTATGTGTTTGTGAACCTAAATGCAACTACCTTGTTTGGAGTACTACAAGTCAAAGAAAGAAAGAGGATCATGTACTTTGAGATTATTGTCCTCTTTTTGCTAGAGATGCAACATTTGATATGAATGAAAAATTAAGTTGTAGAGCTTCAATAAATAAAAATAAAAAATAAAATAAATCAGATGAGTACAGTTATATAAGAAATACTATAAAAACTACCATTTTTAATATTCTTTTTTTCATTTTATCTCCTGCGGATGATCTAAATTGCATACTCAAGCTGTTTTAGCAGATTCTTATCCCCCAGTATGCACTTCATAATTAATCAAATCCGTCACGAGGATTGCTGTGTAGCACATGATTGGATGTTCGTTCATCACATGTTATTCCCAATTCCCCAAGGAACACGCTCTAACCAGGAGCTTCATATTGTTACTCGACTGGATTGAGCAATTACTAAGTAAGCTGGCATCACCCGCTGCAGAGGCAGCATACAAATAATAATAATAATAATAATAATAGCAGAGAAAACATGCATTAACGAGGAAGAAATGGCAGGAAATGTTCCATTCTTTTAAAATAAAAGAACCATACGTAACTATAGCTCAGTGAGATTAAATCCCATTGGTAAATTTCGACCCATAATCGACCGAAAGTCGAAAAAAAAAATCTGTTAACAGCACAAAAGACCATAATAAAGAAGGCCGGGATGTATGGTGAGGATGCTTCACATATACAGTCCTTCTGGTACCCCTTCTTTCTTCTTAAACATAACTTTATCTTTAGCCTTCTTAAAGTCGGCATGCGTCACCTGCCGAGCAAGGTAAAAAAATTATTGGTCATGCGGGTAAATAAAAGTAGTTAAAAAAACAAAGCATATACAAAACTGAATATAAATTAGCAGAAAACCTAAACATGTAAATAGGAAACACTTCAAAATACAGTACAATTAGGTCCAAACAAATGCTCAAGTTAAAAATAAGGCGCAAAGTAAGGTCGTGCATACAAGCAAGTACGCTGGGAGCCTCAAAAACAGAGTTACGAATTTTATTCACCGCATGATTCTAAATCAAAACTTAAAAAATAAAAAGTTGATGACTTGTACTAATTAAATTGTATCTTGCATTTATTAGCACATTTCTTCTGCTCAAGTATTAAACGCAAATTTCAGATTCAATTCAGTGAAACCTTGTTATTGTAAGTAAAACATGAGCAAATGTGCGTCACCAACTGAATGGTGTCTTCCATCTGTTTCTTTCCAATGATGAATCTCAACAAAGAAAAACGGGAGAAATCTAACATCTACAGTCTCTTTGATTTAATTTTGATTTTTAGCTTTTAAAAAACAGTTTCAAAAACAAATTTTGAGAACAAGTTAAAAAAAACTGTTTGAAAATATTATTTAAAATTGTTTTGAGGAGTTGCAACAGAAATAAAAGGACCGACTTCTCGGTGACAAAAACAGGGGACGTAGCGCTATCCAAATGCAAATTACATTAATTAAAACACAACACATTTTCAGAAAATAGTTATCAAATAAGTTTTTTTAATTTTCAAAACTAAAAACTATTTTCAAAAACAGTTACAAGACCCTAGTCCTCTTTCTCAATTACGAGAAATTACAGTGATCTCCCTCCATCCTCTTGGCTTGAGAACAAGCAATCTCCCTAAATTACAAGAAATAGATTTAGGGAAGATTATTTTCCAGTTCCATCCTCTCAAAATTTCCATCTCAACTCCTTCCAAAATTACGGGAACAAGGCTGAGAAAATTGGTTGTCTCTAAAAGAACAATTTCCAACCAACCTATGCCGTATTTTCTTATCTTAATATATGAATTTGAGTCATAAAATGTGCTTATCCACACTAATAACTTTGTAATTCCTAACAGTAACATATTGTCATAATACATTTCCACAGGATCACATTGTTTAGGCCATAACTGTACATACATAAAGATAACTCTAACCTTCATTCGCCGTTCCCGTAATGCAAGTAAGCCAGCTTCAGTACAGATTGCTTTTATATCAGCTCCAGAGAACTCATCCTTAGTCATGACAAATTCTTCTAAGTTGACATCATCGGCTAATGTCATCCTTGACGTGTGTATCTAAATTTCAGAGGTATTAGAACTTTTATTCATTAAGTAAAATATGCATATTAAGATATAACAGTGAAAACTGAAAATATATTTCACAATAATAGTCACATCTACCTGGAAAATGCGTCTTCTTGTTTTGATATCAGGGAGAGGAAATTCAATCTTCCTGTCTATTCGACCAGGTCTTAGCAGGGCAGGATCAAGGCTTTCAATTCTGTTGGTTGCAAGAATCACTTTCACATCTCCTCTTGAATCGAAACCATCTAGCTGGTTCAGCAACTCCAACATAGTCCTCTGAATCTCACGTTCTCCACCTGAGTGGGCATCATACCTGCAAAGCATACAAGAGACATACTAAGAATTGATTCATGTCTCTTCTACCTGTCCCACACCATACGCCCCCTCCGCAAATTAAAAAAAATTGAATATAGAGGATAGAAAATGCAACAGCACAGTGATTCATGAAGCTGATGTTCAATAACTTACCTCTTCGTACCAACAGCATCAATTTCATCAATAAAAACAATAGATGGGGAAAGATCATCGGCAACTCGAAAAAGTTCCCTTACAAGTTTTGGACCATCTCCCAAGTATTTTTGTATTAATTCACTACCAACAACACGTAAGAAGGTTGCTGATGTTGAGTTTGCCACTGCCTGAAAGTAAAAATAAAATAAAATTGTGTTAGACCAAACTTATGTGTTCTGTACGCACACAATAATAACGTCAATGTTACAGTGAGACATGGATCGACAAATGTATCATAATTGCATACTGATAAAACTGTAATATTAGTAAAGATTATGCACAACATCAATTATGAGTTTTGACAGATAATATTTATTTCAGGTCTTGTTATTAGCTGTTTCCATATGCAAACTGCAGGCTGCTGCTACTTACTAACTTCAGATAATTAACGCAAGCAAGAATGTGAACAAATTGACAAGGGATTTTTTTAAAATTCTTACACAAAATCAATTCAATAGCCTAATTAAAAAGCTTTGAAAAATCAATTATTTTTTAATTGAAGAAAACCTTTTAAAAAACGATCTTATATCTTCTAGGATTAATTTCCATATTCCCTAATTAGATTTATCTCAGTATTTATTTCCTCATTTATCTAGGATTGTGATCTAAAAATAGTATAAATACATACCATTGTGCTTCATATCTTGTAACATAGTACCTCAAAATGCTCGGGGAAATATTATTCAATCCCTATTTTCTCAATTTCCTGCCTTAGTTCTTAAATTCTTATAATTTAAGTTCTATCAAGTTCATGATACACATGTTAATACTAAAACAATTAAAATATATATATATATATATATATATATATATATATATATATATATTCTGCACACTGATTATGAAAAGCTGAAGGTCTCAAGCAAGAAATTTACACAATGTCCTCCAGTATCCATAAAGCCACTAATTAATAAATAACAAAATTTCAGAAAACTGAGAAATGTAACAGATAAATCAATTTTGCGGACAAACATTATAAAACACTTTATAATCCACAAACCATTTAAGCCAGATAATCATAAAACCCCATTTTGAGCACGTATACATCAAAAGAATTTCAAATTCAGAGTTATTAAACAGAGAAAATGAGAAATGGAAAAGAGGTTGAGAGAGAAACACCAAAAATGCTTACCTTAGCAAGTAATGTCTTCCCAGTTCCAGGTTCTCCATATAAAATGACTCCCTTAGGAGGCTTGATACCAATGTCTTCGTACAGCTCAGGATGTGTCAGGGGAAGCTCAACTGCTTCTTTAATTTCCTGTATCTGGGCATCCAAACCACCAATGTCAGCATATGATTCCAAAGGTGCCTTCTCAACCTTCATGACAGAGACCATAGGATCAACTTCGTCTTGAAGAAGCCCAACAACAGAGAGAACCTGGTAAGAACCATACATGATAAGATCATAAGAAGCATTACATTTCTTGCATCTAATTAAATATCAAATATGCAAGACTAGATGACTGATTGAAAAGTAAAAACATTCAGGCAAAAATACATGTCCATTTGTTCCTAAAAGACATACGGTTGAACAAAAATAATTTTTCACAACTTTTCTCACCCTCTTTCCTGGTTTCGGTGTCATGGATTACTAGACAACTGACATGACAAACATTCCTAGATTATACCAGACAACAGTAAAATGTGGTCCACAAGGTCAGAAAAACCATGAAGAGTGATAGAATAAATATTCAACAGCTCTTAACAGCATAGCGTGCCCACTAACCATTTCAACAAGAACTAGTATCTATTAAACTTTAGATTTTCGCCAAAAACATAATCAAATTCAAACATACACCTAACAAGTTTAGAGGCCAGAGGTGAAATGTAACAATTCTCTCCCAATTAAAGATGCAATTATATGTTTAGAACTTCGAACTTTCCCAATCTAACCAATAAACCCTATCCCCCAAATCCATCACAAACCAAAGAACACTCTATCAATACTCTGCAAAACTTTAACCAAAATCAAGAGCAGAACAAACAAAACCCTATCACACCGTAACCCTACCTTGTTATGCATCAGAATAGCGCATCCAGGCTCAAGCTGATCCTTATCGACGAAAGACAAGATACCAACGTAGTACTCGGGGCCCACCGAGGAAGAAACAATGGCATGATTCTCGTCGATGAGTTCCTCCAGGTTACCAACGCTCATAGGGGAACCCCTGAGATCATCGACCTTGGATCTGTCTTCCTCAGCCTTCTCTTCCTGCGGCTTCAGCCTCTCCTGGTTCGCCACGAACTCCTCCTCCATCAACAGGTAGTCCTTTATGCGCTCCAGCTTCAACAGCCGCAGCTTACACTTCGAGAGTGGCGTAACCGTCGGCAACCGGGCCGCCGCTTCTGGCCCCTTCTGCTTTCGCTGCTTCCGCCCTACGCGAGCCGGTGGCGCCGCTGGCTCAAACTTCTTCTCCTTCTTATCGCCACCGTCCGGCTTCCGGTCCCCCGGAAGACCTTGCCGGTTCAAACCGCCTGGTGTTCCCTGACCCATGTCTTTCCTATTTCTCAATACGCGAAAGTAAGAGAATAAGTTAGAATGAAATATATACGTATACTCGCTACTTGCCTTTGTGCACAAGTTAAAGCTAGTGATTGGGCCTTTCGGCCCATTCGTTCGTCATAGCACAACAAGTGAAAGAAAGTGGCATGGGCCTAAATGGACTTACGCATTTTATTTCCAGAGCTCGAGGTAAGTGTCTTAAAGGGCATTGCATTATACGCAACTCTTATTTCTATTTTCATTTTCTCGAACATCTTAGCCAACAACTTCTAAAATCTTACCTAAAAATTCAATTTTATAGTCTAACTTTTAATTAATTTTTTACAAATATTTTAAATTATTTTTCTTTATGCTAATTAAATGTTAATTAACTTTGTTAATTGTATTGGTCTTTGCTTTTAATATTTCTATTCTATATTATTCAATAACTTTTATAATTGTACGACGTAGCCGCTTTTTATATTTATGTTCTACATCATTACTTGTGTAAAATATTTTACGAAAGACTTGTTATGTCTTCTAATTCTTTTTTGATCTAAACATAATCGATTAAAAAAAAAGTTGTTGTAGTTTTATAAAGATTGGGTGGAACTTTTACTATGACTCATAAAAGGATGACATAAAAGTCACGTTTTATTTTATTTTTGCACTATTTCTGTATCTCGTGTAATAAGGGTTTTTTAGGATGATGACAAGAATAACGACAACAACAATGATGACTAGAGCTCCTCTTAAGGTATATTTTGACCATAGTGAATGACGGAAATACTTTCATTGTGTCCTATTTGTGGTGGTTGACATTTCTCTTCAATTGAATTCAAGTTTTACATCATTTTTTGTATATTTGATGTTGGTATTTTATGTGTCTCATCTCCTCTTTTATGTTGAAATTAAATGTTTCTATTGAATTGTTATTGATATTGAACTGTTGTAGTTAGTGTTCTATGTATTTGAATCCTACTTTGTTGTTGTTGTTGTAATTTGTATATTAGGGATTTAGTTAGTTGTTGTTGTTTTGTATATTAAGGTTTTAGGATGAAAAGAAAACGGAAAATATTCAAAGTAAGATAATTTTTTACTCATATGTCATATTTGGACGCACAGTATATCAAAATGAAGAAAAAAAAATATGAAGGAGATTTGTCCTAATGGTTTTTCCAAAATATGCTCTTAAACACATGTAATACACAAACGTTTATGCGGGTATAACCAGAAGTAATTGCATTTAACATTTGTTAAGTTCATTTACTTTTGTATGTATTGCATGTTAACTAGAGTCAAATTAATGTTTTAGGTATTTCAATATTCATCCATCTTCATATCAGGACATGATATTACAAAATAATAAGGTTTTTCATTTAACATTTCTAATTTGTATTGTATTATGTAATTTAACATTTACATAGTTTAGTTGTTGTCTTTGTGTTATATTATATGTTTGAATTATTGTCTATTAAAATATGATATTTTGACTGCAAGAAAAAAAAGACAAAATTGACGTCAATTACCCCTAGGTCTAATGTAAAGTTATGTCTCCCGTATTAATATCGGACTTATTACTTACATAAAAAAAGTCAAAATAACAAACGTAAAAGTCTAATTTTATACCCGTATTTGTAAAATATACGAAGATTTATTAAAATATATAAAACTTCCAATATAAATTGTTACATATAAGTTATTGCTATCATTGTGCAAAATATGAAGTAAAAATCATTTAAGATATATTATAATTTATAAGGAACAAATCTTTAACCATTTTCTTGTCAACATGAAAGATTTAATATAAAAAAATTTAAAGTTAAAACTAACATTTTATTTTATAGTGAATTCATTCATTATTGGTGTTAGTGACATATAATAAAAATAAATAAATGCAATGAAAAAAAAGACTAATATTATTTTTTTAAACTAATTTATGAATGTTTATTTTTGTAAGGATTGAAAAACTAAAAATATACTTAAATCTAAATGTGACGATAAAATTAATAATAGAAAATAAAGTTATATTTTTATGGAAAATGATGTTTAAATGAATTAAAAAAAAACAATTTCAGAAAAAAATACCTTATATTTTTCAACCAAGTTTATGAAATTGATTTTATTTGACCTTGTTTTTATTTAAAAAAAAACTTTTATCTATAAGAAAAAGAAAAGAAAAAATAAACATAAAGTTACAAATATAAGATTCAACGTCTAGCAACTTAAAAAATATAATGTTCACGTGTCAAAAAGGTCTATTACAAAAAATAGATAGTAAAAAAAATATAAAAAAAAATAGGGACTGCAGTACCTAATTAATTGTTAACAACGTCATGTGTGCACTCTTTCGTTGCAAATGAAAATAATCAGATGTCTAGTCTTTCGAAAAAACACAATCATTTTTTTTACTAGAAAGAAGACAAAAATATATACAAAAAAAAATGAAAAGAAAAAATAAAAGAAAAGAAAATACAAATAAGAAAAACAGATAAAAATAACTTATTACAAATTCACAATAATGCAAAGTTGGAAACAAATTTCAAATCATGATTTAATGGTAAGAAATATAGTTAAATTTGTAAGTATTTTACATACAACGCATAATGAAAGAAAGAAATCAACTAATAATCCAACAGTTCTGTTAATAGATACATCTAATACATATTAAATCGAACTAAATAATAAATATAGATAAATTATTAAATTCAAAATAATTTCATAAATATATTAAGTGAATTTTGAAACATAATATAAAAAGATATATGATTAATGTTAAATAAATCAATATGTGAAAAAAATAACTCTATAGGACAAATGTGTAATGAGCATAAATCAAAATATTAGACTATTATAAAAATATATTATACATTGCCATAGGAATAAAATAAAAAATAAAAATTTACAATCAAAATATTTATAATTTATCTAAAATATGAAAAAAAAAATCTAACTATCATCTTTACATAAAAAGACACACGATATATTACATGTACTACAACATAAACTAAGCAAAAGATAATAAATTATAAGAAATGTTTTTTAAGTTAGACAATCGAAGAATTAATATAAAAATATAACAAAAACAATAATATCAAAAAAAAAATATCAATCAAGAATTATTTCTAATAATATTAAGAATTCGGATTTTAATAAACACATTTTGAAATAGATAAAAAAAGACTTTAATGATTGAAGAATATATTACAACACAAATCTATAAACTTATTATTTTATCACAATTATGATTTTTTTCTGTTAAAAATGTTAAAAAAGAATAATAATATTATATATACTCCTTCAAATGAAACAAAACCTTAATCATAAGAATATATTATTTATTTTCCATGTAAAAGTTTTTATAATGATTATATTATTTTAATTTAACAATATTTTTTAGTTAAAGATAATAATAAATAATACTAATATTCTTAATATTAGTCAAAGATTAGGGCTGATAGATATAAAATAAGTTATTGGGGCTGATAGATATAAAATAATTTATTGTACTTTTATATACTTTAAAATATTTGTTATGATTGAAAATGGTTTGATGTATTCCTCTTTAACCAAAAGTCACTTAATATGATATTATTGATTTCAATAATCTTTAAATGTTCTTGAAGAAGATTTAACATAACCTTCAGATAAATTAATATATATATATATATATATATATATATATATATAATAATAATATGTTATCTCTTTATTTAATTAGTTTTCGTATTTTATTTATTATTTATTTAAAAAATATATTTTTAATTATTAAAATATTATTCTTAAGATATTTAAAAAAACTTTATTTATCCCTTTTTCTATAATTAATACGAATTTTTACAAAATACCACTAAACATCTTTCATCAACTTATTTCACAGCTATATAATCATATTTTCACATCATACTTAGGGATGACAATTAAATCCGTATCCGTGGGGACTGATCCATCCCTACCCCAAGTTTGACGGGGAAACCCGAGTTGACCGGGACGGGGCGAGTTCGGGTTTTCCGCTTTAAAAATCGGGACGGGCGGGGATGGGTAATGCAATCCCCACCCCGACTCCGACCCCGCGCCGACTTTATATTTAAATTTAAATTTTAAAATATTAATATTTTAAAAGTATTTCCTTTTCTTTTTCTATTACATACAAGGTCATTTTTTTATATTTTACCAATTTTTTTTTCTTCTACCAACTTTTTAATTTTTTTGTCTTTTTTAATCTTTTATATCAATTAATTTATTACATTATTATTTCTCTTACCTTTCAGTTTTTCACATTTCCTTAATCTCTTCCATCAATTTGTTATTTTTTTTCAATCTTTTCAACTAATTTGATGAACACAAAGTTATTTTTTTTTATTCTTTATCTTTTTTAAAATATTTTACATAAATCTTAGTAGTAACTAATATTATTTTATTTATAATTTATATTTATTAGGTTTTATTATGTCATATTTTTTTTATCTTATTATTCTTATTTATCATATATCAAAATTTATCTTAACAAAATAATTGTATTTTAAAAGATTAAAAGAATTGATAATTTAAACTTTTATTACTTCAAACTAATTGAGTAAGAATTAACTTATTAAATATTTCCTTATAAACTATATATTTCATATTTTTAAATGACAACTTAAAAATGAATTAACTTATATATAATCAAATGTTTGAATACAAGTATTATAATAATAATGTTATAAATATTCAAATATTTGAATACAATGTTATAATAATAATAATGTTATAAATAAAAAATGATTAAATATTTCTTTTACATACATATTTTAATATAAATATAATAAATTAAAATATATATTTAATTAATAATAATTATAAATTATAAATATTTATTTATATATAAAAAATAGATAAAAAAATAATTTATTATAAATTTAATTATCTTTTTAAAAATAATATAGATCGGGAACGGGAAGAAGCGGGGTGGGGAACCCGAAACCCAACAAGAACGGGGATGGGGACTTAATTTCTAACCCGATGGGGATCAA